CATGGTGGAACAAGCATTAGGATATCATGGAGGAAGCACTTACATGGTGGAATGAACACTTGCTTGGTGGGAGGAGCACTTGGCCATGGTGGGAGGTGCACTAGGCATCTTGTTGCTTTCTTGATGCAACACAATACACGGATTGGAAAACATCCGTTACAAACACGGATTATATCACGTTAATATTCACTATTAACAAATAAATTTGGTCCAAATAATTAATCAATCGATCGATCATTTGATCAAATCCAAATCCAAATCCAAATCCAAATCCAAATCCCATTTCCCATTCACTCTCATTTTAAGACTATTTCATCTTAAACAAAAACTCAACAATCCAAAACTCAACATTATCTGTATTTGTAAAATATAGTGTTATCATGTGCTCTAATCGAGTCTTAACACATGTTAAGAATATTATAAGACTCCAAAAAAAGCTGAATCCCATATCAATCGAAGTTTAAAATTATCCAGTACCGACATTATTAGTATCATAACCATTAGTACCTGAATCATTTTATAACGAAACCATTCATGAGTCAAACACGAAGAATCTATCGTGGATACGGAAAATAGGGGAATCAGTCAATCCCGAGTAAAGCGAAATTTGGTATAATTCCCCAATCAGTTACCGATTCATAGCATAATGTGCAAAAAACACTATTAATGGGTGTAACGAGCAAGCAAGATATTAGGGGAGCGATTATGGATAGTTTTACTATTTAAATCCATCTTTTCCTTGCATTGCATATTATCTCAGAAATTATTCTTTTACTCCCTAAATAAATTATCTTATTTTGTTTCCTAGAGTTATTAATGATTTTTAATATTGTATCCGTCCACCAACCAAGTATAAACTTTGTCTAATAAAAAAAGCTCCGCATCATACAAACTGTTTGGATGACATTTTATTCAAAGGACAAAAACAACGTGAATTATGTTTTTAGCTTGAAAATGAAAATAATAAATTGGTTAGTTGAGTGGTTATCCTCAGCCCAGAAGATACGAATAGATACACGGCACGAAGTCCAAAACAAAAGACACCCATCGTGTGTGTGTGTGCGCGCGCGTAGTTAGTTGATAGACCAAACTTAGCTCAGCTGGATATCGTATGCTCCGAAACCAATGGCTAATACTACTCCCCCCAATATTACAAACTCCGTTGGTATCGGAATCCGAATCCGAATCCGCAGCAATTTAACGCCCCGACCCGCCTCCATGGCCGCATCTTCAGCTCTGTCAACTGCTGTCCGAATACCAACCGGTCTATTTGTCATCAACTCCGGTTCGAGTCGACGTGGAGCCGCTCGAGTTGACTCATTTAACGGTCATTTGACTCGCGGCCGCGCCGGTGCGACCTCTTTATCAACTCGAGCCTCCTCAGCTGCCGCTGCAACCGTGGAGCCGGTAGAAACTAGTTCTTCAGGTAAACTTCTGTGTATATTTCTGAATTAGTATATTTTTAGAGCATTTTGAAACTCCGCCTAGCGGTCCAATTTCGGGTCAAGCCAGAAGTTTTTGTGTCAGCAGACTAAAAAAGTCAAATTATGATGATAGAGTGAAATGGATATAGAGGATATTATTGAATTGAAGTCAAAATTGAAGAAGCATAAGTATAATCGAAATTGCATTTGTATTATAATAAGATGCTGGTACATAATGCAGTATGAAATAGTTATTGAGTTAAAAGTCGTATAAAAAGAATTTTTTGTACCATCAGGTCAGCCAAAAAATATCTACAGGCAAGCCTCCTTAAAATGTGGTATTTGTAATCTAAAAAAAAGACATGTATCTGCTGCAAGCCTGCAACAGGTAAAAAATGACCTGATAGTATGAAAAAATTTCTTAGTGTATATAACTTAAAACTCATAGTAGTTATTTCGGTACAGGTACTTGAGAAAAGTTTATCTATCTCATGCTTCTTCATTATTTTCTTGCTCCATCATACAGCTGCTATGTTGTTATATTTTATATTTTTAATTTGAGGTGTTTACTCGTCAGCAGCTCAGCAATTGTATAGTATAATTTTGAGCATTCTGGTGTGTTTTGTTTGTTGCAGCTCAGGGTATTGAGAATTTGGTTATAATAGGATCAGGTCCAGCTGGATATACAGCAGCAATTTATGCTGCTCGGGCCAACTTGAAGCCTGTAGTGTTTGAGGGGTTTCAAGCAGGTGGTGTACCAGGAGGGCAGTTGATGACAACAACTGAAGTAGAAAACTTTCCTGGATTTCCTGAGGGGATAACTGGCCCTGACTTAATGGATAGGTACAAGAAAAGCTTTTGGGCCTTTATTCTCGTTCATCTATTAGAAGTTCCCTTGGTTATAGACAAGGTTTGAACGCTGAGAAATTATGTAATTTTGCTAGGATGAGGCGACAAGCTGAGAGATGGGGAGCTGAATTGTATCAGGAAGATGTGGAATTTATTGATCTGAAGAATACTCCTTTTACTGTCCAAAGTAGTGAACGTAAGGTGATGCATCCTTTAGTTGCAGGTTATTCTGTCTAGGTTTTGTTATAACTGTTTCAATCTTTAATCCCCATCAAATAGTTTGCCTTTTCTGAATTGGAGCTTTGATCTTTATTAATTTATACTGATGATTTAACTAATTTGATGGGGTAATATATATATATNCTATGTTCTTAAACAAGTGCCCGGGAGAATTACAGGAACTTAGATGCTAACTTAACCGTTTCTCATTTGGTTTTCTCTTTCTTTTAAGAGTTCTAAAAGATGTTAACAAGGCAGAACAAGATACCTCTCAATTAGTTGCATTTTTTGGATAAGGTCAATTTCCTCTATTGTTATAGAGAACCATGCTATTAATCTTGATCTTCAAGATACCTTAGCCATGATATAAGAGTCTGACTTGTTCTTTGTACCTTTGACGTGTGAAAGAAAGAGCATCCTTGGTTTTTTACCTTTTAAATGTGAAATAAAGAACATTGTTACCTTTTGTTTTCCGACTAGAATCCTTCAAGTCTCTGAGGTTCTTCTGATAGTCATTGTTCAGGAAAGTATATCTTCATATGCGGTACCAGCTCTCTTTTATTTCCTCCGTGATAACAACAGGGATGCTTGTTTCATTCGTTTCATATGTTGTAAGAGATGTTGAGTTTGAAATGCATTAGTTCTTGCAGATGCAAATTTGATTCTTTAGACTTCTAGTTGGCTCACACCAGTAGACACTAGACATGTGGTTCCCACATTAGCGTCATTATATTGAATCAATGCTCACTTCTGTATTTTCCAGGTAAAGTGTCATAGCCTTATTGTGGCTACAGGAGCCAATGCAAAAAGGTTGGGATTGCCCCGTGAAGATGAATTTTGGAGCAGAGGAATTAGTGCTTGTGCAATTTGTGATGGAGCATCACCAATTTTCAAGGGTCAGGTCCTTGCTGTTGTTGGAGGTGGTGATACAGCTACAGAGGAAGCAATATACTTAACAAAGTATGCACGCCATGTCCATTTACTTGTCCGCAAGGACCAACTAAGAGCATCAAGGGCAATGCAAGATAGGTAATTGATGTTTATGTACATTTCCTATTTCCATTTTTCTTTTTTCCCCTCAAATTGTTGTAGCACAAGGCATTAGAATTCATCTCAAAATTGAAGTTGTAATCTGATGGGCCATTTTGTTTTCTTTGGGAGAGGGCTGTTAGGGTCATATAATACTCTCCTTCTCTGCAAATGTTTTCCTAGTTTAAAAGGCTTGAAATGATGTGGAATTTAAATATTGTGAACTTGTCAATGTTACTTCTAGGCATTTCAGACTGAGAGATGAATGATAGGAGTGTTATTCAAATGTTAGGGTCATATAATACTCTCCTTCTCTGCAAATGTTTTCCTAGTTTAAAAGGCTTGAAATGATGTGGAATTTAAATATTGTGAACTTGTCAATGTTACTTCTAGGCATTTCAGACTGAGAGATGAATGATAGGAGTGTTATTCAAATGTTAGGGTCATATAATACTCTCCTTCTCTGCAAATGTTTTCCTAGTTTAAAAGGCTTGAAATGATGTGGAATTTAAATATTGTGAACTTGTCAATGTTACTTCTAGGCATTTCAGACTGAGAGATGAATGATAGGAGTGTTATTCAAATGTTAGGGTCATATAATACTCTCCTTCTCTGCAAATGTTTTCCTAGTTTAAAAGGCTTGAAATGATGTGGAATTTAAATATTGTGAACTTGTCAATGTTACTTCTAGGCATTTCAGACTGAGAGATGAATGATAGGAGTGTTATTCAAATGTCATTTCATGGCTACTTACACATAGGACACTTTACTGTCATCTGTAAAAACATCTAGAGTAGTTCTCTTACTCTAAGATGTCTATACACATAGCTGTTTTACCTATATTTAAAAAAAATCACTATCTACATTGAAGGTGCTGGTTCTTTACTTCATATTCATGTAAAAAACCACATGACTTTTCCTTATGACCCGTTAAAGATGCGAACTTGAGAATGCATAATATGTTAGTTTGATGATAATTGAAATGCAGTTACTTTGCATGCAGATATGCACATAAGCATGTTGCAGAAGGATGTTCAATAGGATAATCATATTTGAAAGAACAGGATCTTTGAGGTTGANACGAAAGTCATTGTGTTCGGAGTTTTCGTATCTTGCTGACCCCTCAGTTCTCCTTTAGAAACAACCTGACAATTTACTTTTCTTTGGTTACCCAAACTTCATTATCCATATTGCTTTCATCACACCCAGCTCCTTCACATTTTATAACGTACTTATCACTACATTTGTGAGAGCAGAATAACACACTCCAAAATTAGCCATCTCCTTTAGCTTCTCCTAGGCCTTGCCATATAAAGCACTCACTGTAGAAGATCCCAATGATTGTTGTGAGCTTGGCCTTGTCGAAGGCCACAATCTGAGATACATCAATGCCTGTCTTGTTTGTGCTCTTTAATACTCAGCGTTTTATTTCATTATCTTATTAAGTACAATAGACAGTTCTTGGAATATTGACTTCACAATGTCATTGAAAGGGAGTCAACAAAGATTTGTATCTTTTATTACTCTATTCTAGTACGTACTATGGGCTCTCCCTCATAGGCATTGCAATTAATACCAATTTAAAAGGGTTCAATATTGTGTTGTACACACTAGTGAATGTGCTCTCTGCATTACAATATCATCATGATTTGAGTTCAGCATGCACCTGCAAGTCGCGTGACATGATTGACCAATGTAGGTGTATCCTCTGATGAGTGATATGTTAAATAATCCAGTGTTTCTTGTTTGTCTCTGTAATGACAGCTCACTTTGGTTTGCTGCTGATTATTTTTCATTTTTGCCTCTTCCCCCGCTTCAAGCTATTGTCGCTTTTATTCTTCTTGCGTCACACCTATTTCTGTAAATGTTGTCACATATCTATTTGACCTATGAAGCGGATTGAATTACTAATGAGCTATATATTTCAAGTTTCAACTCCCTGAAATGTTTGTTTAACAGGTTGATTATGCGGAATGTTTCAGAGTTTTCAACAATCCAAACATCACTGTGCATTTCAACACTGAGACCGTGGATGTCGTCAGCAACCCTAAGGGCCAGATGTCAGGAATTTTGATCAGAAAAGCTGATACTGAGGAAGAATCCGTGATTGAGGCAAAAGGCTTGTTTTATGGTATAGGTCATTCACCAAATAGTCAACTGTTGGAAGGCCAAGTTGAACTTGATAGCTCAGGCTACATATTGGTCAAGGAGGGAACGGCAAACACTTCTGTGGAAGGTGTATTTGCAGCTGGAGATGTACAGGTACTTACAGCAATTTATTATTTTATTCCTGCTGTTTTTTTTTCCTTTTTCTTTTTGCTATTCTTGTACTTCAGGTGGTAAAAAAAAAAGGTGGTGATTGCACTCCTAAGAAAGTTCAGGTTAATTATGCATGACCTTTTTAGATGTATCCTGTGTGCTGTATGAACATCATGACTCTAGCCTGTTCATTGAAACATCTGAATTAAGTCCTCAAGAGAAGTTTGTGTCAAATAAGTTCCTCTCTCTTTTATAAATTTAATTTTCAAGGTGTTGCAATGAGAGAGGGGAGCCATCCAATAAAATGTAGTGTGATGCCATTTCTCAGACCTTCTGTTTTTGAATTCTTAGGTTACCTGGGTAGAGGAAAACCTGTGATTAACTCATGATAGTATAAAACATTTGTTTTTTTCCTTTGAAGTTATTTTTCTCACCGTTTTCCTGTAGAATGAAACTCATCTTGTGATTTCTCGTTGCAACTTCTTATAGTGTGATACTTCCTCATATCATCATGACATGTTCTCCATACGTAGGATCATGAATGGAGGCAAGCCATCACTGCAGCTGGCTCAGGATGTGTAGCTGCTCTATCAGTGGAGAGATATCTCACAAGCAAAAATCTTCTTATTGAATTTCACCAGGTATCTGACTTCTAAAAGAAATTGATTTTCGGTCCTGTATATTTCCTTTACAAGTCATTTGATACGCGTATATAATCATGCTCTCAAGTGATTTTTTAATCCAGCGCCCAAACATTGTTGACTTATATTTAGTTTTTGCATTTTCTTCGATAGGTATGTATTTGTCAATTTCATAGCCTTGGTATTCCCATGAATTGTAAGTTATTGGTCTTTAAAAAAAATTGCAACTTATTAGTTACAAGTGCTGGTATCCTAGTGACCTAATTTAATGCTTTCTAAAATGTATGGAATAATGTAGGGTGTTAGAGTATTCGTGTGAATCTGCATGCTTGTCTACACTTACTGGATGGTATTTGAATGTGATTGATAAGAGAGGATTTAGAACATTATTACTTATGGACTGTCGTATCATCTATGACAATAATAGTTTGTATGAACTCTTTTAGCTTAGTGAATGCACAAACCTCCCTCACAAAGGAAAGCGGGAAAGTCATCTTTGCAAACAAAGGCCTTCAATTTATCTTGATTGCGACAATTCCATCAAGGTGGTCTGAAAAAGAAACTGTTATGCTGAAACATCAAAGAGATGCATTTAAAGTTTTCGTTTGAGTTACCCTTTCAATTTTAGTTTTTTCATGGGGAAACAGAAAACTAGAGAATTACACTTTATAGTTGATTAATTTATGGATGCTTGGCAATGTTGCACTATCTTCCTATGTTGCGCGGACTCTTCATTTTAATCGCCGCACCCGTGTCGACACGACACTAGTACTGTACGCAGTGTTTTGGAGAGCGAGAAGCAAAAAAAAGAGAGGCCTCGCTTCACCGAAGCAAAAAGCGTGAAGCGAAGCGCACACTTTTTCATGTGAAGCGCAATTTAATACATAAATAAATAAATATTAAATAGGCAAAGATAAATGACCAAGAACTTAATAAAAATAACATATTAAGCAAATGTTTTAATTCTTAAATTAAGAAGTAAATAATAGATACTAAACTAGATAGTCAATAATCCTCAAAAGTCACAACATATTAAGCAAATGCAAAACCAAATCACAAAAGGAGCAACATCCTATTCTTAACAACAAAAAAAAAAACTGTTAAAACAGGGCAGAACAGTGAACAGCAAAAAAACAGAGCAGAAGCATAGTGAACAGCAGAAATTAAAAAAAAAACAGAGCACTCGCTTTTAATAGAAAACAGGGCAGAACAAAGAACTGACAAAATTAGAAAAGGAGGAGAAAGAGAAGAAGAAAAAAGAGGAGAGGAGTCGAACAGTGAACAGCAGAAATTTAAAAAAAAAACAAACAGAGCAGAACCCTAAAATAGAAAACTAGGCAGGATAGAAAAGAAGATATGAAAAAATAGAAAGGAAGAAGAGAAAAGATGAGAGGAGTCGAACAGTAGCAGAGAAAATCAGAAGAGGAAGAGAAGAGAAGAAAGAGAAGAAGCAGAAGAAGAGAAGAGAAGAAGAGAAACTTACCTGAGAGAAGACAAGAACTCGAAGGCTTGCAGTAGTTGAGAGAAGAAGAGAGTCGTCGCAGCAGAGAAGCAGATGTGTTTGGAAGAATGTGCATAAGTGTATTTGATTTTTTTTAAAAAAAACCCTAGGCAGCTGCTAGACCTCGCTTAAGCGAGCTTTCCTCGCTTTTTTCCATCGGCTCGCTTCTCACTTTTTTGCCTGAAGTGTGCGCGCTTCAGGGCAAAAAAGCGTAGACCCCTCGCCTTGCCTCGCTTCTGCGCTTTAAGCGAGAAGCGCTCGCTTTTAATAACATTGACTGTAAGGGTTGGGATTCGTACTGGGTGTGGTCAATCGAGATCGGGTACTTTGACCACAATCCATGGACAAATTTGAGGAAAAATGAAGGATTGAATTTTACTTGGTGCTTGCTAGTGCCTACAACTTGAGAAATTCTCAAAACGAAAGATTGAATCATTGGTTGCACTCCACAACCTATAAATTTTCCACAGAATATTTCTCATAATTTAGTAAATCTTTATAGATCTATTTTTAGAATTTTGAATTATTTGTTGCAGAATCCCCACACCCATATCCCTACTTGGATCTGTAACCCCGAATCTTAAAATTCAGATTATGAAGGATCCGACCTCTAGATCCACACTCGGATCGGATACCTGCACCCGAGTCAGAAGAACATAGCTATCTTCTGTTTTTGCTGAGCTTTTTGGTGATATTATGCAGTATAAGGATGAGTGATTTATTTGTACTACTTTATCCTTACCTTATAAGCACACACTACCCTCCCCAGACCCCACTTGTGAGATTCGTGGGATTTTACTGGGTCGTTGTTGTTGTTGTTATCCTTACCTTATAAAAAATAATAATATTTGTACTACTTTATGGGTTATATGAAGTGAACTGGGTTATACCAACCATGGGGCTTCTTACTTCCCTAACAAAACTCCCACTTTTTTTTTTAAGTATATAAGTAACTATATCCTTTTGAATTTGCACTATTGTCCAATATCCTAGACCAATAGTTCATTATCTCATGAATCTTCCTGGATTTTTTGATTCATCAGCCCCCTACTGAAGAAGTTAAGAAGGAACTCACCGAGAAAGATGTCCAAGAAGGTTTTGATATAACACTTACAAAGCATAAGGGCCAGGTATGAGATCTAGGAAGCTCAGATCTTTCTGACCATAGTCTGCATTCCTATCTGATGATCATTTTTATTGTTTTCCTTCTCAGTATGCTTTACGGAAATTGTACCACGAGAGCTCAAGGATTATTTGTGTACTATATACATCACCAACATGTGGTCCATGTAGGACCTTGAAACCGATTCTTAGCAAGGTATGCAACTCATTTTGATAGAAATCTTACCAGAGGATGTGTAACTTCTATGTGTCCTTTCAATTAGCCATCAACTCTTTTTTACATTAGTGAATTGTAAAAGAAAAAGTTAGCCAGACATCACATTTCTCTTGCAAGTCAAAAGACCAATTTGTGAAGAGTGTGAAGTGTTACGTCCTGTCAAACTTTATTGATCCACGATGTGGTTAATTTGTCTTAAAAGTTTCTGTTTCAGTATCATATATCATTTTTGTGAAAGGTGATTACTTGAAATCTTATGATTTCAATGGAGGAATAACCGAATCTTGAGATAAACCTCAAAGGACCCCCTATAAAGGTTGTTTTAAAGAAAAGAGCTTTGTGTTTCAATTAACTTTGCATCATCCTTACTTCTACTCGGTAATAGTTGATTCCTTTAGCTGCTTTGCTGTTGAGTACTGGCTTTTGTAGTGCTTATAACTAACCTGTTCCATTGTGCTTGTGCAACAGGTCATCGATGAATTTGACCAGCATGTACACTTTGTTGAAATTGATATTACTGAAGATCCAGAGATTGCTGAGGCAGCTGGAATTATGGGTACTCCATGTGTACAGTTTTTCAAGAATAAGGAAATGCTCAGGTTGGTTACATTTGGCTTTTCTTTCCCTCCAAAAGTATAAACTGCTTAATTTCTATATTCTAAATGACCTAAACAGCTGTCTTCTTCTCTTAGTTCTTTGTTGCACGAGTTCCATCTCATTCACTCTTTCATAGCTTCACCATACACCAAGTAAAATAAGCCTCGCTAGTTGGGCTCAAGCCCGATGAACTTGATTTCGTCGGAAATGCATTTTCTTGCAGCTTCACTCTTATTTTCCATTGTCCTGAATCGATTTACTTAATTCTTTTTGTTCTGGTCTTGATGTTTCTTAGGAAGATATCATCTTTGATTAAACCCTCATTCTCTTTTTGCTCTTCTTTATTACATAGCAAATGAGGAAAAGAGAACTATACTTCCGCGTACAGCTCTGTATACATGTGCTCATTCTCCTTGCTTTGTTGTTCTCTGCTACTCATGGCTATCGTCAAGCACGGCTCCCTTAACGCACTTCCCCTCTCCATTATTATCACATAGTATAGTCCAACCAAACACCTAATTAGGAAATAAGTTTTATTTGTCATGTATTTTCCATGAAATTTAACAAACATATTTTGTACCAACCAAATGGAGCCTCAAATTCTGCATGTGTTATGCTAGCATTTAGCATTGTTATTAGTTGAAACTCGTTTGACATTTATCATCTTGCCTCTAGCTAGTGTCATCCATGTCCTGCCCTAATTTCTGCACCATCCGATGTCTGCCTTAGTTACTACAGAGAATCGTTGGAAAAAGCAAGTTTGGTAGCATCTAATTTTTTAAGCAGCTTGACTTGTTTCGTGCTAATTCTTTTTTTTTTTTTTGGATATGCAGGACTGTATCAGGTGTCAAAATGAAGAGAGAGTATAGGGAGTTGATTGAAGCAAATAAATGAAGGCTTTTTTGGTTAAATCTTTGTCAAATCTCCATTTTTTCAGTTGATTTTTCTAATGCATGGTACGCAAATCAATTTTTCAAAAGGGTTAAATGAACAACCGCCCAATACCTTGTATTAGCTCAATAACAAGTAGCATTCTTACATCGAATGTTCTGTGTGTCACAAATTTTCTAAAGCGCAAGAAACTGAGATTACTTTCCCTTCCGCGTTATTTCTTCCTTTTTTTGGTTTTTATTTTTCTTAAATTTGTTTCTTGCTTTCGGATGGCAGCGGGAGACCAAGCAATTTGACCTTATCAATAAAAAATTAGAGTGATAGAAATTTGTCACATAACCATGGTTAAGTGATAAGCGTGTAACACGTCTTGCAGTTTTTGGCTTGGTCAATATGCCCTGTCGGGTAGAGTTTTTCTGGAGAGGATTGTGCAAAAACCTCGTCCCATGAAGCATAGCTCAATTGCTTTTTTTCCACCAGACACATGATCGAAGTTTCTGCAATTCGAATTTTTTTGGTTTCTGCATTTTGATTGAAATAATTAAAAATAATTCTGGTTTGTAACTTGATTTTTCCTTTTGCTTATCAGTTCCTAAGCTGAGTTCGTCTAGGATTTGCTTATCAGCTATAAAACTAGGGGTCGCAACCACGCTTTACTTTCGAAGAGCATCCTCATGAAACTACACTGCGACATTCGAACACTACCACAACAACTAATTATCAATAACAACGATAATATTATTTCTGCTGCTTCTTTAGCCATTCAATTTTCAACAAGCAAGAATCAATGACGAAAGAATTATTTCTCCTCCTAGTTTAGCCCTTCAATTTCACCTTTATACTCGACAAGAGTTTTGGTATATAAAACCACATCACTTGCCTGCACAGCGCGCTCCAATATATAGGTGAACTGAGACCAAATCACTTCATCCCAGATTATACACGTTCTACCGTGTCATGCAAGGAAATCTCAAGAACACGTTTGTGTTTTATCATTAGGAGCTCATACATTATTTGATACGTCAGGTACGTAATACTCGCCAAAACTTGGAGCTGTTCGTTGGTTTAACTTTGAAAATTGTATATGTTTGGGATGGGAGGGTTGAAGAAGAAGAAGAATTATTATCGCGCTTCAATGGGATGGTACCAGCTAGTAAAATGTAGCTGCCGGAAAGAATGGAGATTGATGAAGATGAGAGTTGGAATGATGACTGTGGGAAAAAAGTCTTGTGCATGCCTTAGCTCACATATGTTTCATGGAAATTGCATTACGAAGTGGTTAGACAAGAGCCATTATTGCCCTATTTGCCGTTATGACATGCTAACTACCTAGCTTCGTGTTTCTCTCACTTTATTTATTTATTTATTTACTTTTACAATAGTTGATTTGATTAAGGAAGCCGAGTTGAATAGAACATTATGAGCAAGTTGATAACGAAAAAAAAGTTTCTCTATGGCATTTTTTGTTTAAGTTACACTAATAGCTAAAAGAAAAGTATGCGACTCAAGTAAAACAGACCAAAATAAAAATTTATTATTCGCATACCATGTACAGAATGAGCTAAAGAAAAGTTGAAAGTTTAAAAATGCATAATTTCAATCTCTCCTGACCTGATGTATTTTTGGCTTTATGCTATACAATGCGAGTTCTTCGTGATCAATTAATTATGAGACGTGTATTTCTATTGATTTTTGGATATCACTGTTAATCAATCACCAAATTAGACAATTATTGGGTTCACATTACATCAACTAAATAACTATCATCAAAATTTACATTCAACAGATTGAACCTGAAACTGTTGCTGCAATGCATGCTCGATGCCATTTTCTAAAAAGTAAAGAGTCACTAAACAAAATTCATTAACTTGAATTAGCAATATAGGAGAATTATTCAAGGAAATGGATAACTAGACCACGGTATAGGAACAATATAATCAAGAAAATTGATAATACGTTGAAAGAAAAGAAAAGAAATTGATAATACACTATGGTACAGACTTCTGCTCTTAGTTACGGATGACAAATTTGAAAGGATGATTCAAGATACAGAGTCAGATGCGTCAGGAACGTCGTCCAGGATAAAAGAACCTAGTTTCCCTGTTCTAAATAAAGTAAGGAATTTCTTTGATACCATTATCCGAGCCTCTGAAGCTTTATGAGGTATCTTTAGAGCCTTCTGCAATGCTTCAAACTGGTGGTCTATTAGAGTTTCTAGGTCATTTTCATCTTCCAAACTACCATTGAACTCCGAGTGTGTGATGTAAAGTGTGCGTTGGACTTCACTAACCATATCCTGTGCACAGAAAGGACCCCCATAAAAATAATGGCAACAACAAAATCAAAATATAAAAACAAAATCAACAGCTTTTACTAGGCTAATCAGCACAGTTAGTTGAGTTTGTTTTTCACATTAAGAGGTATGGAAATACAGTAGAGTTTTTAAGAAAAACAAATTATGAAATCATTTTTCACCTGAACACGGTAGACATCAGATTTGTTTATGGGCTTCTTGCTCTTATTTTGAAGATATTTGATATTAGATTCAGGTTTCTTGTCCAACTCAAGATGAAGGTCCTCAGTTTCCCTGCTAACCAAGTGCTTCCAATGAAGAGGAGTTCCTCGAGTGTTTAACACTGCTAATAGGTATTGAGCAATTCGCTCTTCACCCACCACAGAATCTTTCACGGACCCTGCATAAGCATTATACATTAAATATGAAATGGAACAAATATTGAACCTGAATAAATTACTACAATGTTGTCATGGATACTGCTTCAATTTGCTGACCCGTTGAATTTTGTATGGCAAACCCGTTTCTCCCACCTTGAAATGGATATTAGTTCTTATTTATCTATTAATTGATTTATTCATACAATTTGGCAAGTGATAGAACTTCAGAATTTTTTTGGCTTGTGACAACTTCAGAATTGATACAAGAAAAATTTCAGATTAATCAACATAGAAAAGCAAATGGACCAACTAAACCTAAGTGGAGCTTATCTAATGTAACTAGCTGCAGAAACGTGCCACGGACTAACTTCATGTAATCATTTGTTTTCTTTACTTTGTCCTTTAGGAGCTATAGATCGTGGGAAGTGAGGTGATTATGCAGGCCAGAAAAGACAATAATCATGCCTATCAAGTACTGCAAAAAAATTAGTTCCAAGTTAAGAAAATATGATTTGTTAGGAAGTGGCCTTCCTCGTAGGGCACAAGAATCGAGAAGATAGCTCCTGACAGGCATATAGATCTCTCTAAGTAGTGGCCAGCTCTTTTTCATAAGCGACTTGTCTTTTCAGAATTGACTATTTGCATGCCCCAAATACCAAATCTAATCACAAATCCCAGCTTCTCAGTAAGATAAAAGAACTTCAATGACAATCTTATAATCTACAGTTGAAATAGGTACACACCTGCAAGAGCTAGCTTTAGCCCGGTTTCTATATCTGGGATACTTGGAACCAACACTCCTGGAGTGTCCAGCAAATATACACTCGGTCGATGTGCAATCTGTATGCAATAGCAGTTTAGCATCAGTAAGAATAACCAACAAAAGAGCATCCAATAAAAGGTGGCACAAATAAGTTAAGATAATCATGAAATTTTGTAGTGTCACAGGACCTCATGGAAATATGGACTATGGAGATAATCTGACCCTCTATGTTGTTGAATATTTCTAACCTTGAATCCAGCAATATCTTGAGTAACACCAGGCAAAGGTCCCACTCTAGCCTTCTTCATCTTCTCCTGCACTAAGATCATAATCATCTATAAACATACACTCGAAAACATCGCCACTATCAGCTTCCTACAACAGCACTCAGGAATCGCCAACAAAAACAAGCCTCACCTGGAAATCGAGATAATGCAATTTGATGTATGGAGTTGATTAAAGCTGATTTGCCAACATTTGGAACACCCAACACCATGACAAGAAGAGTAGGTTCCCTTGTCATAACCTCCTTCAGTTTGAACTCGACCAGATCAAGAAGCTTTGGAATATGAATTATAGAGATTTGGATTAAAAACTCTCAGAAGAGATGCAAACTGCCAACCTATAAAAAATTATCAAATCCCTTGATTCAAGATCCAATTAACTAGATGTTTGAGGGGAGCATATGTTGTTTAACAGCACAGTTTCAAACACAAGAACTGACCTCCATTTGTTAATAAGGCAAATATATTTGCTAGAGCGTCTACTAGCACTCTTTAATCAGGGTTTTGCCTATCTTCTGTAGTTTTCTTTCTTACTTTTGTTGTTTCAGTTTGAACTTTCCCATGACTACTTTTTACAAGTGGGAACTTTAAGATTCTTATTACAAAAGAAGTAGCACCATCAAGCAACACAATCAAGAATAAAACATATCAGATAAAATGTAGGTGAAGAAAGCTTTTCAATTTCTTCTGTATCTGGTTCATAATTTAACAAGAGGTGCAATTTTGCCCGATAATCCTTCATGAACAATGTCAACACTAATTAAGTTCAAAGGTACTTGGCACCTTTTTGGGTATAAAGAGTTGAGATTTTGGTTTTTCGGTTGCATGAATATATGTTAGTACTATAATGAAGACCGCTCGCATGTGGGTGAGTCATAAATCTTTTTGGTTATGAACATCGTACTTGACAATCCTGATTCATTTTCTATTTAACATGTAAAGCATGCTTAAGAAATTTCTCTAGATATACTAATAAGAGAACAATTCAACTATGCACTGCAATTTACAAACTATTATTGTGAAGAGAAAGAGTTAAAAAGAAACTGTGATTGCATCATTGACATGTGTACAAATACCAAGCTATGCAAAATCAGAGCATGGAGAAAAGGATGACTAACCTTTTGTACAGAACTTCTACTGTGTGCATTTATTGGGAGACACTCTTGTTTACGTGAATTAAAATAACTAATCCACCCCTGCATGGAATGAAAACAGAAGTTTCAACAACTAAAATTTGAAAAGCCAACAGCAAATAGTTTTAGGTTCATATAATTCCCAAAAAGTATTCCCTCAAAGAAGCCAAAGTTTCGAAGTCGATATAAAAAAATAATGTCAAAATAAGCCTCATTTTAATAGCGACTGTCGAAATATTTAATGTTAATGACAATACCATTGAAAGAACTAACTAGTAACACCACAGATGCTAGCATACTTTAGACTACACAGCTTTGAGATTCTTAATACAACTAGAGCAGATAAGTAACTGCATTGTCTTTGCCATGTGCTAGCAAGAGTATATCATACGATAAAATAAAATTTCTATTGCATTCGCTAACAAAAAGCATATGTAAATACATACATGATCAACAGATGCAACTTTAGGATGGTTTGTTAAGGTTCTACTTATTCTTGCTAGACCCTCAGTAAATAAGTAGCAAATGCTGCACTATCTTTGGATTTCATACAGACAATTTACCTTAACCACCATATGCATTTCATAAAGGTACAAGGAACATGATTTTACAGAAAATGAATCATCAATATAGTCTACTCAGCTCCCTAAAAGCTCCAAAAAAGACAAAAAGACTAACTTTGAAAAGGAATAAGTAGTAGGATGAGAAATAGAAAATAGATACATGCATGAGGTTGCGGTTGGCCAAATCTTGCTTATTGAGGGCAATGACTCGCCTTTTTCCAGAAAGCATTGGCTGCAAGTCTTCGTTCGCCGAAGACAATGGTATCTGCACACACACACACGCGAATGGACAAAAATAATTGGACCAAGAACAGCAAATTACTCAGAAAAACATGTACTATACATTATCAACAAAAAAATTACTAATATATATAGTTCTTGTATTAACATACACGGGCATCACGGACTTCAATGACAAGGTCAGAGAGTTTGAGGCGTTGGCGAATGGCACGGGTAGCTGCAGCCATGTGCCCCGGGAACCAATTGATGTTTCCTCCACCTTTGTTGAAACCCATTTGCCCCAACCATCCTTTTCTCACTGCCCCCATCTCTCTCTTCTTCTCTGCTTTACTGTGCTAAAACCCTGAAGCTCACACTGTGGAAATGCCATAAGTCAGAACCCCTCTTCCGTGTGTTCTCTTTCTTAAAGCCCAGTTATGATGAAGCCCACTGGGCTTCCAACAGATTAGACCCTTTAAGAAATGGGTTCTTATCGCCAGCCGGATTCACTGTTTACTTTATATATTTCCAGCTATCTTTAGGTTAGGAAATTAAGTGGACAATTATTTAGATTAATTCTTCTCGAGAAATTGCATTAGAATTTGCAAAACTTGGCATGGTACTTGAGTGAGAACAATGCAATTTACTAAATTAATTTTCTAGCATATCTAACGTCAGAAAAATAGTATAATATTAAAAAACATATAATGTATATTATAATACCTTTAGTTTAAATAATTATTTTTATATTACATGCATGAAATATATATTATTAAACTTTTATTTTCTTTCATTATCAATTGTGTAAATAAATTTTTGAGTTTTTATTATTAATATCAAAATTATTATTACAAACAAATTGTTATAATTAATTTTGTTACTATACTCAATATTTTATTATTTCAATATTATATATGCTTAAATACTATTTTTATCTTAATATATAAATAAAATTTATTTATTCTACAGGTAAGTCTATAATACAAATTAAAAGAGAAAAATTGTAATATTGATCAAACCCAACTCTAGTCCTAAAAAGGATAAGCAGTTGCTGCAAATAAAATATGGTCTAAAAGTCCGAAGTTGAATCTCACAGAGAACTAAGGTTTAGCTACAATTGTTCACTATCACTTATAAGAAGACAAACTCGAACAATTCCTAAGTTATAAATATTAAGATTCTTATATCTAATTAACTGACAAATTAAAGTAGTAAATTAACAACTATGGATACTAAGGGTTGGAGACAAGACTAAGGAAGTCTAGGGTTATGATTTCTCCAATTGTCGGAATCCTTCTCGATACATCTTCTATAATTTTGCTTAGTTATTCTCTACGTGAGTACTACGGGTGTCGTAATTCTCTTTCGAGCAACCACCACAATTTACTAGACATATTCTCTCGAACTATGCTAGCTGGCACTAATTCACCGCTCGTTACGCACCAAGGTTTCGTTATTTCTAATCCCGCCTTTAAACCCCTCGTATTGATTTCTCACATATGTTCAACAACTATCTAAAAGTGCACCCTCTCACAACAATACATATTAAATAGGCACAATCAATTGATGGTCATTCAATCAACATTAGTAAACATGTAGTTGAACAAGCAGAAAAATCCAACGGTTCAATTATATATAAACGTAACGAGAGTTTATCCTACATAAGGTCTTATCAAAATCCTAGATAAAAAATTAGCTAAACATAATAGTATGCAAAACTACAATACTAGAATTTACAACCAATAATAGAATAGGAAGAAGAAAGTGAAACACTAGTAGAAGAATTCTCCGCCTTGCTCCTAGTGTGTTCTTGCCTCCTTAGGTTTAATCCCCTCTCAAAAACGTCCAACCCCCTCTTAGACATATTTAGGAAGTATTTATAGGCTAGGGCTGAAATCTCCAGTTCAAATTCGGTCAGAGTATTTTAATTCACAAACTTTTATCCACCGGGCACCTGACCTCGTGAGGGCAGGCTTATAGCACGGCTAAGCTGGCTACGCCTAGCCTGTAGCACGGCCAACATGGATACAGAGCTGGCTACGCCTGGACTGTAGCACGGCCAAGCTGGCTATAGAGATGGCTACGCCTAGTCTGTAGTCAGGCTTGAGTACTTCATGTTTTTGTGTTTTTTTCTTGTATTTTTGTCCTCTTTTTGTTCAACCTTCACTCGTTTTTGCACATTTAACCACTAAACTAACGATATGTAAGGAGAGTTTTTTACTAAAATATAGCATTTTGCCAAACATTACTAACCCATACTTAAATGTTGCTTGTCCTCGAGTCAACCATAAATTCATACTAACCTTGAGCACTTTATTTTCTTTTAACACATCTGAAGCACATATACCTATAACTATGGTTGATAACAACAATTAAACAATAGGATATGCTTTAAATATGCACTTCCCTTTACTTTATGCCATACTTCAAAAAATTATTCAACACCAAGACAACATGCTCGTAACAATCCTAGTCTCACAAACTGACTCGATATCACAATGCATTCATCGTTTGAACACTTAACATCATATAAAAATCTAAAAACATCATCTATCCCTTGCAAAATTATGTTCCCTCACAATAAGAACAAAATAGTAAATTGAATCCACACATTCGAATCAACTACTCAATTTTATTTTAATAGCTCATATATATCAACGAAATTCCTCAGCTCTCACAAGAAGTTACATGCACGCACAAAGTAGGTTTTCCCATTATATAAAACTCTACTAATGTAGGCTTGCTCGATCTAAAATTAAATAGGACTTTTTATGATCATAACGTGGGCTAAGGGACAGGCAGGATATATTTTGGAATAGTGACTAACTCTTTTAAGCAATTTAACACATTACATATTTTTTAAGAGCAAATTCTTCAATCCCAACTTCGATTTCACAAACAATATCATCCCAAGAGCTTACCCTTTTTTTTAAGCACTACTTTACTTCACACCTACTAGCAAGGACAATATATCAATTTATTCGTCAACCTATATTTTTTTTCTTTTTTTCCCAGCTATGTACTTTTTTTTTCTTTTGTAATTCTTCTCTTCTTTACAATTTCCATTAGTAGTATTTTCTTTTACAAAATGCTTGCACCTTTTCTTTTTATTTGTTCCACTCAAAAGCTACCCAAGTTTCTTCTTACTTTTTCTAGCGTTCATTTTACAATTAGAATGCTTTAAGAGGTACAAGGATCAAAACAATGAAATTAAGAACAAAAGAATATAGGCTTGTAATATGCTTGCCAAATAAAAGTCTATAGGTTCAAAAGGGTTGACTAGGGATAATTTTATTTGTGATAAGCATTAAGCTCAAAAAGAAGAATGAAAGCCTAAAATTATTTTTCAAACCGAGCAAAGCCTAGAATTTTGCTTCAACTCACATGCTGGGCAAGTTCTAGACTCTAATGCAATGACACGGACTACATAAATTCTCACCACACATGGAATATGACTCACTAAGGACGGTTCCATTCCGACTCTCAAACAAGTGCAAGTATTCACGGAGCCAGATTAAGCATTAAGCACGAAGTTAACACAAGCCAAGAAAACGAGACATAAGCGTCAATATGCATGCTATCTAACTCAATAGGCATCATAAGTAACTTCAAAATCTAGGGAAGGTACTACACATGCTAAAGCCTAAATATGCTACTATCAAACAAGTCAAAAAGTCACCTAGAAATCTCATCTTCCTTCTTTTATTCCCTAAATCCTAATCTACTCTAAAAAAAACTACGACCCGATTCAGATTACATCCCATGAAAAAGAATCGAGGCACAAAAAAAATCATGAGGGACTATTACTACCTAACAAAAAAAATTAAAATATGTATTTTTTGGGATTTTTATGTTAATTTTTTTGTGTTTTTTTGTTAGACTTTAAACGCTCAAGAAAATTGTCTAGGAGATCCATCGTCGGGAAAATTTCAATCTTTTCTATTTTATAAAAAGAAATTATTCAATTACAACTAAAATAGTATTGAAAGTCACCCAAGCAATCTCCTCACCCCACACTTAAAATCGTGCATTATCCCCATTGCACATCATAACTAATAAGAGGGTAAAAGAAACTCCCTAGTAGGCTAAAGGCCAAAGCACTAGTAGCTCATGGGGTACTCAGACTTTTTTCGAGCATTTTCTTTTGTGCGGGCACCCCATACTTAGTTCTAACCATCTAGCTTGTTGTTGCATCCTTCCAATAGTTTTGCTTTCTATGCTCCTACAAAATAAAACAAATTGACACTAAAAAAATAATACAATAAAAAAGTAATTAAAAAAATTTAAAATAAAAGAAAGCAGTAAAGTTTGGTTGTCTCCCAAGAAGTGCATGATTTAATGTTGCGACATAACGTGAATCACTGTTTGCCTCCACCTTGGTCTTATGAATTGAACTCCCAAGTTTTGATTCAAGCTTATGATTATGCTCTTGGGGCGGTACAAATTCTTGCGAGCTAAGTCTCATCTACCTCTTCCCTTGACTCTTTTTTATGCTCATAAGGATCAATTCTCATTTCACCATCCGAGCACAAGGTAGAAAAGTGATTGAAATGAGGTTTAACAAGCTCAAATACCTGAACTTCAAGATTTTCGACATCCTCAACACCAATCACACAAAAGTCAACTAAATTAGTATCATCAATGTCCTTGGCTGACTCTAGTATTACATCTTCAACATCGGCATCCTCAAATTCTAGTTGGAAGCTTTAATCAGTTGTCTCACTTGAGCCTCCAAGTTGTAAATAGTTGCGTCTTGCCTTTCTATCTGTAGTTGTTTCTCATCATTTTTTTCGAGAAGTCACCTTAGCATATCCTTGATCTCTTTCAAGCCATCATCCCCGGGTTCTTTGTTCTCATTAACTTCACAAGAAAAAGTAAAACCATCATAGAAAGGGGTTGGGGAGGATAAGAAATATAAATAAAATCATGAATGTGACCATCTTAACCACCACACACATCACACATATTCCACAAATAAGATTGAGTTAGTTTACATAACTCGTTCTCGGCAACATTTCGATAATTTTGACATCGGTAATTTCCTTCACAATATGTATGGGGATCAAAAATAGAATCACCAACACCTAAACTCCAGTAATTTCAAGATGCCATATTTTCTCAAATCAACAAATAGAATAAAATAAATAAAAAACAAAATAAAACAAAATAAAAGTTCAAACTTGAAACCTAGCAATATATACAACTACAACTACACCGTTAGTTCCCCGGCAACAGTACCAAAATTTGATCATGCCCAACTCTAGTCCTAAAAAGGATAAGCGAAAATTCAGTCTAAAAGTCAGGAGTCGAATCCCACGTAGAACTAAGTTTCAGCTACAACTGTTCACTATCACTAAAAAGACAAGCTCGAACAATTCCTAAGTTATAAATA